ATATCTCTTTGGGTTTGAGACTTTAGTCTTTGCAACTTTAGGGGTCTTATCTATGCATGAACAGCTTGTAACACTCCAAAGAGAAAGGACAACTTTCTTTTTCATAATTTTTGCATCATATGACCCCTTTAACCGCGGTGAGATACGGCATCCGTTCGCTGTGTGGAAGGAAGTGAAGCTCAGGTTCATCTAGGGAACTTTGTGTTTGTGGCCTCGAAAAGAGGAACAATATACGTGCAATATAGATTCATCTGATCGTCGTTGTTCTTTGGAAGTGGGATGAAAAGGGTTGTGAAATCCTCCACACTCTTCTTTGACATTTACACTAAACTAACATGAACGTGAAGCATAATTGACCCTACACTTATTTCACTGTTGCTTTAAAGTGACTCTCTGTTTGATTCTCCATGATGAATCTTTGATTTGAATCTTCAGGGCATGGTGACTGCTGTCTGTCAGCCAGAGCAGCGGCGTCTAGCAGGGGCCGTCTGGACCTGAAGGAAGACCTCTGAGACGTGGACGGGACGACCAAGACGGGAACGAGAGCGGGAGAGACATGGGTCAGTGTGTGACTAAATGTAAAAACCCCACATCCTCTTTGGGCAGTAAAAGTGGCGAAAAGGATGCTGGGAAATCGCACGGTAAAAAAGGCGGCGGCGGTACGGGCAGCGCGCACAAGGAGGAAGTGGCCAAGTCCTCCGTCGATGTCATATTCAACGGCACCAAAGTGTCAGAGGTGACGGTGGAGGGCAGCACGGCTCCGGCCGTCTCCGCGGAAGTGCAGCGGGAAAAGAACACGCAGGACGGGGGAGGAGTGTCGCTCGCTCAGATTCACGACTTGTTCTCGTGTTATAAGGACGAGTATGAGGATGCCATCCTGGAGGAGGGGATGGAGCGCTTCTGCAACGACCTGTGCGTCGATCCGGCCGAGTTCAGAGTGCTGGTGCTGGCGTGGAAGTTCCAGGCTGCTACCATGTGCAAGTTTACAAGGTGAGTTTCTAGTGAGTTTATAAGGTTTGTTATAGACTACTGTCGGTAAGATTTTTAATGTTTTTGTTCCAAGGCTGCATTTATTTGATCAAAAATACAGTAAAATTGTGAAATATTATTACAATTTCAAATAACTGTTTTCTATTTGAATATCTTTTAAACTGTAATTTATTCCTGTGATCAAAGCTGAATTTTCAGCATCATTACTCCAGTCCTCAGTGTCACATGATCCTTCAGAAATCATTCTAATATGAGATTATATCTGATATTTTATTGAGCCTTTTCCTTTTACCTTTTAATCTCCGTTATTGTGCGCTCTTGAAGAGAGTTTCATCGTTTCAACTGTAGTAACCAAACGCGACACGCAGTTTGAATGCTGAATGTAGGATGACAGACAGACGCAGCGGGGAGAAGAGTTTACTTAAATATTAATCTATACTTCACATTAAACTATGGAACAGCTTAAGAACACTTAAGTCACAATATATAGTGCACAAAAACTTTATGGTGCTTTATATTGTTTTTGTGCCTTTCGTGGGGCTTAACAATTACGCAGTATAGTATATGCACAATATCGGATTTGGATTGGTCTCGTCTGAACGATACCCGATCTGGCAGAAAATGGCAGTATCGGAGGCGATACCGAGACGGAGTATCGGATCGATGCATCCCTAGGTAAAACTGTTTTGCTGTCGCACTTTGTATAAAAAAAAAAAAACATACCACCCATCCCTAGCAGGCAAAAAGCGCTTATAAAATGAAGGAATATATTGGAGACATCTGATGCTATTCAAAACTCACACAAGAACGCAGAAGCAAAGCAAACTTTTGCGACAGGAAAAGAGAGAAAGCAAAGAAATTAAATCGCCTGAAGATGCAGACAGAAGGCCACACACAAAGTGGTCTTGTTCATAACAGTGGTCATCACATGATGTTCAAGAGACTGTTCAGCGTCAACACTCCAGGCTGGCTGGATCACACAGGCTGCATCATATGACCCCGCCTCCATGACTTTACAGCCCGGACCTCCTCCTCCTCGCATCGGTTCCCAAGTGCTCTCTGAAGACTCATGGCAGGCCTGTGTTTATGTTTCAGGTCCTCTTCACTCACATCCCCCTCATAAAGACAGTTATTGCTGGTTTGACCTTTGGGGTCAGAGATTCTTTTCTCATGAAACCCACTGCGGCTGCCGAATTAGGGCTCCTTTTCTCAGCTGTTCCTGGAACATGCTTCCATTTACGATGATATGTAATCTTAGCGCTATGAAGTTCAAATGGGCGAGGACATCAGGCTATTTAGCTTAGAGATAAATTCGATTTAATGAGGGACGGAATAAACTGATATCTAAGAAGAGAATTGCACCTATGAATACTGCCTGTGACTTTATTATAGTTTAACGGCAGTTCATTGTTTCAACTGCCAAATTAGCAAACACTAAGTTCGAGAGCTATAGTTCTAAATCTTACAGCTATTGTTCTCTAATAACTATGGCTCCATGGAACCTTTAACACTTTGTGGAAGTGGAAAAAGGTTCTAAGGTGTTCTTTACACTGAGAAAAAAAAAGTTATTTTATGAACTGTTGACTGAACCCAAAATGGTTCTTCTATGGCATTGCTGTGAACCCACCACCTTTTTGAAACTTTATTTTTAGTGTAGTTTACTTTGTGTCTTTTGTGTACAAAATAAGTTTCAAGCCAACAAGCAATGCAACTTGTGCACAATATTCTAAGTCTTTTGAAGCCATAGGATAGCTCGGTCTGACAAACGGACACAAATTTAAGAGAATATTATTCAAAATTCTTGCCTTCTACCACAGTCTCATTCACACTTCCAAATATTCTAGCTTGGCACTATAATGTGACGTGAAAAAGTCAATAGTCACAGTCACTAAATCTGTAAATATTTTGAGTTAATGTGACACTGCCATCTTCCTTTGAGCTCCACACAAGGAAGTCAAACAGGTTTACAAGGACATGGGTGCGAGTAAATAGCAGTTTTGCCATTTTGGGGTGAACTATACCTTTAACTATGATGTCAGATCATGTTAGTCATTCAATGGAAATGAATGGCCAAGATCAGTTGAGGCAGGCGGTTCACTATTGTTTGAAACCCAGCCTGAGTGTGACTAATTCAAGTAAACACACAAGCACTTACCGCTCTCCATCTCATTGCCCTTGTTCTTGGCGGTGGGCGCGTTGCCCATGATTGCAGGCCAGGTATAACAGATCTAAATCGACTTGTCTTGACGCCAACTGTCTTCAGACTCCGTCCCCTGACTGCTCATACGATTTCTGCGTCCGTTGCACTAGCTGTGTCTGATCATAACTCGCTGGATCACAGTACGCTGTCAGACCACATAAAGTCTGGAGGTTGATAGTAGCTGGTTAGTTGGTTAGCTAGCTAGCGAGCGAGCGCTAGCTAGCTAACAGTAGCTGTCTGGTTGCAGAGCTTCGGTTTTGGTAACGTCTCTCAGCTCTCCTGGGTCGGGTCCGGTCCGCTGAAATAGCACTAAGAGCCCGTCTTCTTCTTCTCTCATTTATTCCTGTGATCAAAGCTGAATTTTCAGCATCATTACTCCAGTCCTCAGTGTCACATGATCCTTCAGAAATCATTCTAATATGAGGAAACATTTCTTATTATTATGTTGAAAACAGCTGTGCTGCTTCATATCTTTGTGGAAACGGTGATATATTTTAATTTTCAGGATTCTTTGATGAATAGAAAATTGAAAAGAATAGCATTTATTTGAAATAGGGATGCAACGATACCATTTTTTCAGAACCGATCCGATAGCATGAAATTCTGAGTATCGGCCAATTCCGATCTGATCCGATACCAGCACAGTTTTTTTTTTTTAAATCAATGTAGAATTTCTATACTTCTGTGTGTTGACCTGATCATCACTCTGGTGTGTGTTAAACACAATCTGCTAAATATAGACAACTTCATTTGAATGAAAAATAACAAATGAAAAAATATATAATCTATGACAAAAAATACTATTATAAACTAGGTTAGGATAATTCAGCAGCAAAAGTTATTCTAGAAAAATCATGAATATTAATCTATACTTCACATTAAACTATGGAACAGCTTAAGAACACTTAAGTCACAATATATAGTGCACAAAAACTTTATGGTGCTTTATATTGTTTTTGTGCCTTTCGTGGGGCTTAACAATTACACAGTATAGTATATGCACAATATCGGATTTGGATCGGTCTCGTCTGAACGATACCCGATCTGGCAGAAAATGGCAGTATCGGAGCCGATACCGATACGGAGTATCGGATCGATGCATCCCTAATTTGAAATATAATTTTTTTAACATTATAAATGTCTTCACTGTCACTTTTGATTGTTTTAATGCATCCTTGCTGAATAAAATTATTAATTTCTTTTAAAGAAAATGTGGAGAATGCAATCTTAGAATACATTGCTTCATAAGAACTTTGTGTGTGTGTGCATGCTCTGTATGTTATTGTGCTATTGAGGGTGTCATTCAGTATTTATACTGTGCAGTTGATTACCGTATCCCAGAATGCAATGCACAGAACTTGATCTTCCATTTAATGTGCAACAGAAGACCTGAAAGTGACACAAATCATCATTTGTAACAGTTATTTCATCATTCAACAGTCAAAATTGAATTATTGCACCATTAGCAATACACTAATATTGCATTCTGAATAGCCACAGAGTTCTACAGCACTGCATTGTGGGTATTATAAGGTTCTAAGGCAAAATATGGAAAATGTAAAAGTTCAGTTGAAGAAAACAAAGTAATAAAGAGATGTTTTCCCAGTGTTCTTGTTGAATAGCAGTGGAGTGAGAGATGATTAGTCAGTGCAGTTCCTCCAGAAACAGACAGAAACTTGCAGAGATTGCTTCATCACGTCAGAGTGTTGCAATGACAATTTGCAGTTGTGTGTTTGGCAGTGGGTTTTTTCCTTCATATTTATTTGACCTTAATTTTCAGAGTAAGGCAAGCTACATAATCAGATTACTTTTTTCAAGTAAGTAGTAAAGTAACTCATTACTTTTTCAAATAAGTAATGCCAGTTACTTTGTTTTTCCATGTATTATTGACTGCTGGCTCTCCTGTCGCCATGTTAAGAGAAATCAGAGGCGTTGTGTGCGCTGTGTGAACATGATATTACTGTAGTGCCAGACTAAATGCGAACATGCATTTACTCGCCTCACTTGCACAAAAACAGATTCATTATTCCTCAGTTTTTGAGTTGCGCCCTCTACTGTACATTCATGAATTTACATTCAGCCTGAGGCTTATTCATTTTACTTTTGGCATGAAAGGGCTTTTAGATTTGCCAAAACAGAACTTTTTATATTAAAAACAAACAAGCAAGCACAGATGAGTAACGCAAAAGAAAAGTAACGCATTACTTTCCATAAAAAGTAACGCAATTGACCCGTCGCAAAGTCCCGCCCCCCCTTAGTTACAGTTGCTACGTCCGACAAGCCATGGCGCTCTCACGCCACACATTATGTTCTCACGCAGTGAAAAATACATCGCAGAGCAAAGAAGAAACTGAAAACGTGCCGACAGGCGAGACAAAGCAGATTACTTTTGGTATGAAACAAAGTCTCCGCTTTCAAATTTTGTCAAATTTTTGTTTTATAAAAAAAAATATATATATATTTTTTTAAAGAAATTCTAACAATAAATACTGTTTTGTGGCCCTGTAATGTGTCATGATAGATCACTGTAGCACCTCAGTTCAAGCAGCACGTGAACCAATCATCTCTTCCTCTTTACTAGTTATAGCACTAAATAAACATGAATGAACATCAGAAGGTATCTTGTTTCAACTGCAGAAAGACGTCGGTACACACCGTTTTTCAAGTTCAAGTCCACCGACGGTAATCTACTCTCCTGTCTGGTTTGCTTGTCGGACAAAATGCCAGATTCAGTGTTATGATTGGTCAGATTGCCTGTCAATCAAACTCCCGGCGAAGGGTCAATTAGTTACTTTTTTAGGGAGTAACACAAAATTGTAATGCATTACTTTTAAAAGTAACTTTCCCCAACACTGTTAATGTTGATGTACTAAAATAACTAGTGCTGTTAAACGATTAATCGCATCCAAAATAAAAGTTTTTGTTTACATAATATATGTATGTGTGCTGTGTATATTTATTATGTATATATAAATACACACACATGCATGTATATATTTCAGAAAAATATGTTACGTTTATGTATTAAATATATTTATTTATAATATAAATTGTATGAATATTAATATAGAGATGTAAATACATGCAAATATTTTCAAAATATATACTGTATGTGTGTATATTTATATATACACATAATAAATATACACAGAACATATATTATGCAAACAAAAACTTTTTTGTTTGCGATTAATCGCGATTAATCATTTGACAGCATTAAAAATAACTAAAACTGAAAGAAATATTAAAGGGTTAGTTCACCCAAAAATGAAAATTCTGTCATTAGTTACTCACCCTTGTGTTGTTCGAAACCCGTAAGACCTTCGTTCATCTTCAGAACACAATTTAAGATATTTTTGATGAAATAAAACTTACAGTATATAGACCAGAAATAGCTCATAAAAGTTACAACAAAATTACTAAACCATTAACTAAAAGGAACAAAAAATACATATACAGTGGGTACGGAAAGTATTCAGACCCCCTTAAATTTTTCACTCTTTGTTATATTGCAGCCATTTGCTAAAATCATTTAAGTTAATTTTTTTTCCTCATTAATGTACACACAGCACCCCATATTGACAGAAAAACACAGAATTGTTGACATCTTTGCAGATTTATTAAAAAAGAAAAACTGAAAAATGCTCAGTATTTAGTAGAAGCACCCATTTGATCTAATACAGCCATGAGTCTTTTTAGGAAAGATGCAACAAGTTTTTCACACATGGATTTGGGGATCCTCTGCCATTCCTCCTTGCAAATCCTCTCCAGTTCTGTCAGGTTGGACGGTAAACGTTGGTGGACAGCCATTTTTAGGTCTCTCCAGAGATGCTCAATTGGGTTTAAGTCAGGGCTCTGGCCGGGCCATTCAAGAACAGTCACAGAGTTGTTGAGAAGCCACTCCTTCGTTATTTTAGCTGGAATACTTTCCGTACCCACTGTATGTGGTTTCCACTGTAAATACGTCACATTACAGAAGTAAAATGGGTTGCAAATGTTGACGGTACATGTTTTGCGCTTGTGTGTCTCAGGAAGGAGTTTGTGGACGGCTGTAAGGCGATCCAGGCCGACAGTATCCCAGGGATCTGCTCTCGGTTCTCCATGCTGCTAGAGGAGTCCCGTGGAGAAGAGAGTTTCAAAGATCTCTACCGCTTCACCTTCCAGTTCGGGCTGGACGCCGAGCAGGGCCAGCGCTCGCTGCAGCGCTCCATCGCCATCGCGCTGTGGCGGCTCGTCTTCACGCTGGACACGCCGCCGCTGCTGGAGCACTGGCTGGACTTCCTGTCGGAGAATCCGTGCGGCGTGCGCGGCATCTCCCGCGACACCTGGAACATGTTTCTGAACTTCACACAGAGCATCGGCCAGGACCTCAGCAACTACAGCGAGGACGAGGCCTGGCCCAGCCTGTTCGACTCCTTCGTGGAGTGGGAGGCGGAAAGACGGCGGAGAGAACAGTCGGACGCTGCCGCCTCTGAGACGGACTGTGAGGCCGCGTCCGTTTGGCCGGGAACTTGAGGGATGGTGGTGAATTCTGGACGATGACGTGCGGAGGTGTTTCTGAGCCCGTCACTCTCCATCCTATTCTAATTATTATGAAATTTTCGGTCTCATCGCATTGGACATCCCGGTGCGCTCTCAGACTTTTGTTTTATTGAAAGGGCTCCAAACGAATAGTTTTTTTTAAAGCACTTTTATTTAAGTTATTGCTATTGTTCATTTAATTTGTTTTAACGTTCACATTTCATCCAGAGCGGTTTCTTCTCGCTAATATTTTGGGATTGACCAACACGCCAAAGAAAAGGGAATTCTGTCAGCTGCCTACCGAGTTCGAACACACACACACACAGATATTTATGCACACAAGAAACCCGCGCGCACACACACACACACACACGCCAGCATAAACGCTGCAGGGAATGTGTTTTAACGGTTATTTTTGGTTGAGGGGTGTGTGGTGGTTCTGCTGGTTCTGTTTAACATCAGACTGTGGTGATTGATGTCCTGAAGCCCTCAAAACCTCATTTCTCACATGTGCTTCCCTAATCATTTCTGACTTTATTTTGTTCTTATCATTCACGTCTCCTCTGATGCGTTCATTCATTCTCATATATTCTCAGTGGTCAGATGTGTGTGAGTGGGAAATACAGATTCATTTGCAGTTGGATGTCTGCTGTGAGCTTTTTATTTTACAGTTTACATTTTTATTTTTTTTAATTCAAAGTGATTTAATGTCAGTCTTTTTTGTCTGGTTTTATATAAATGATACAGTTTATAATTAATAAAAATGTGTTCAACATTGGACTTGGATTTTAGCGTCTTTTTATACGGTTTGTTTTACGTTGGATTTGTGAGAGATTCACTTTCTGATCTCTGATGTTCAGTGCATCATCTGACCAGAGGTGATGTGGATTTGTGTAGCAATTGTTGTTAAAATCAGACATTATTATTTGTACTATGCAGTGCTTTTTCATGTCCCTATCATATATGTCTTAATATATTGGGTAAGTTGTTATTACATAAAAAGAATTACACTTTTTTTTTTTTAAATGATAGAAATCTTATTAGTTTTCTTTCATCGCAATATATCAGTTAGAAGAATATATGTGTGGATTTGACAAAAACTGGCAATTTATAAAAAATATTCTAATATTTATTTATTTTTACTTTAATCAAAAATGTATTGGAACTGGAATTTATTATTTTATTTTGTAATCAATTTATTTGTGTGTGTGTGTGTGTGTGTGTGTGCTTGATATTTTTATCCTGTTAGTGTTTTGTAAAATCTCCAAAAGCCATTTCCTTTATGACACCAGCCTCCAGGAAGTGACATCATTTTGGAGGGAAAACAGCAAACACAGTGAGTATAGTCAATGGATTATGGAAACAGGAATGGTAATATTAATATTTTAAAGATGGTTAAAAACAATATTAAGTTTAGTTGACACCCACGTGTAAATGAACTCTAAATTAACATTAATTAGGTTCCTTCTTTTCAGTTTTCTTTTCATCATGTAAATGAATAAAGTTCAAGTCTGAGGGTTGATCAGAGAATATTTCTGAATGTCTTTTATAGAAAAACACAAGCATGTGTTTATTTATTTTTTTTTAATTGCAGTATTCAATTTGTATTTTATGAGTACAAATATGCATAAACAGACCAAATAATATTACCGGAATGGTAACAACAATTAAAATAAAGAAATTAAATATAAATAAAAAGTAACAAACGTTTCTTGTTAGACTTATTAAACATTATTAATTAAGTCAGTAGTGCAAGATGAAATAAAATGCTAAATATTTGTGATTTTATGTAGTAATTTAGTGAGATAATATTAAAAAAATTGTATTTAAATATTTTCAGATGTATTGTTTTATGAAACTTGTTGTTATATCCTATGTAAATTGTATCGAGAGAAAAAAAAACACCTTTATTTTCAACTGATCGATTCGATTTATTTATCACAAATGACTGACAGATGTGTATGAATTTTGCGTCGTCCTCCTAATGAGAAGGCGTGCTGTGATTGGGCAGCGTCTCTGCGCTCTGCCGCTGTGTGGGCGGGCCTGTTTTTCGATAGCGCGCTGTGATTGGTCAATTTCTCGCAGTGACCATCGTATGGGCGGGGAATGTGTTTAGAGGACGCGCTGTGATTGGTCAGCGTCTCTCCTGGTTACCAGCCCTCCCTGAACGCAACAACACACAGACGCTCCAGCAAACAGAAGGGCGATTTCAGCTGAGACATGTCATGGACAGTAAGTTGACAGCTTTTATTATCCGTCACGTTTATTTCAGAGAGTGTAGAAATGAATACTAGAGTGAATATGATGATTTATATCGTAGAGTTTAATGGCGGAGAGGGTTTGCGTGTTGTTGTTGTTAGCAGAGAGGCTAATTTTCAGCATGTGAACATCTGTATAACATCTGTCTGATCAGTTTGTACAGCTTTGTACATGATTGAGATATATGCTGTTTGTTTTCTTTTAGCAGTTTCTGCCTTTCATATGCACCAGTGCAGCAGCTCAGTTAAATCTAGAAAAGATCATTTACCTTTGCTGACCCACATAGTAATTAAAAAACCTTATTGTTTCCTTTTTATTTACATGCACTGAAAATAAAACTGGAAACAACATGTTCAGACCAGGGTTATTATAGTTAGCTAAAACTAAAACCATAAAAAAAACAGTTTTGTTACTTGGAAAATGCTTTAAGATAGTCGCCAAGGCAACATTTCACATTTACTTTAACTTGATGTACTAAAATAACTAAAACTTTAAAAAAAAAAGACAAAAACTTTTAATAAAATTAGAATAAAAACATGAAATATACCAAAATATAAAAATAATAAAGTCATAAATAATAAAACTAATTCAAATAATGAAAACTATAACCGTATCTCAAAGATACTAACATTTTCACAGGTTCGGACATAATGTAACACCATTTTAAAATAACACCGTTTTGACATGATTCACGAATGTGTTACAATACATTTACATTTATATTATGCAAGGGCTTACATTTATATTATGTATTATTTAGCAGATGCTTTTATGTGGAGGAACGAAGTAGCATAATCATAATAATAATGATAATAAAAGTACATACAAGAACACAAATAATATAAAAATAAATAAATGATAAAATTGTTATATAATAAACATATTTTCCTTTCAAAAGGACGGCTTCAAACACCTGACAGAAACACATGAGCTGCGTATTGAAATTATGTTCTTCTCAATCAAGAGCAAATCTCCTTAGTTTGTCAGCTATAAATCGCACTCACACTTCGTTTTCTTCTTTTTCCTGTCTGTTTTCCCTCTTCTCTTCTGGTTTCACGCTCCTCTCTAGCGTCCAGATGCTGTGATTGAAAAACAGTGCAGATTCTGTAAGAGTCATCCTGTCTCTCACGTCTTTCTGTTGTGACATCCCTGCTGGTTGCATGCAACAACAAGCAGATAATCCAAATGACTCCTATGAACTAATTATTTTCAATGATCAGAATCACAAATCAGTCTCAGACTCAAGAGTTACTGGTTCACCTTAAAATGAAAATTTGCTGAAAATGTGCTCACTTTCAGGCCATCCTAGATGTAGATGAGTTTGTTTCTTCATCAGATTTGGAGAAATGTAGCATTGCATCAGTGTCTCAGCAATGGATGCTCTGCAGTGAATGGGTGCCGTCAGAATGAGAGTCCAAACAGCTGATAAAAACATCACAATAATCCACACCACTCCAGTCCATCAGTTTAATATTGCTTTCTCCAGTGAAAAAGTAATTTTGTCTGAATTAGGAGAGAACTCTGCACAGATCAAGCAGAAATATGCACAAGTCAAAACCATCGAAAAAACAAGTATGTGGGTGTATTTTGATGTGAGAGACAACAGCAGATGGACTTTTTCACTGGAGGAAGCGTAATTAGGGATTATGGACTTTTGTGGGTGAACGATTGCTTTAAAGATTTTTTTCTATGTTATAATACTTGCTCCTGTCACAGGTTAATATGCAGAGTCAACTGTTTGTCCAACTAATGACTCAGAGTGAACCTATCATTATTTTTGCATATATTTTTGTTTCCTTAAAAATTGCTAAAAGAATAGTTCAGGAACACTAATTGTCAAATGTCTAGGAAATTCATTGAGACTCCCAGTCCTTCCCATCGGTCTCTCTGTGTCTGTGCAGCTTTATGTATCATCTGCTGTCTCATATTGTTCAGATTGACTGAGAGTTGTGTTGTCTGCAGGAGCTCAGGAGGAGCAGGGGAGGGAAACACTCCTCTGCCGAGGAGAAGCTGGATGAATATTTAATCAACCTGCAGCATAAAAACAGGTTTGATGACACACCCGAACACAAACATACAAACACAGGTCAGATAACGCAAAAATAGGTTAACTGTGTGAGCTCAGGTTGAACGATATGGCTACTATTACAAGCACAGCAGGAATCGCATGCAACCGCTGCTCGTCCATGTGACGTTCTACAAGATTGGACCCGCTAATGAGCTGCTCTGATTGGCTGAAAACCCGCTAGAGAGAAATTCTAACTGGCCGTGGAAATTTCTAGCGTTAAGTGATGCGTTGTCTTTGAACTCAGCTACTCGTAAATAACCAGCTGCCAGTGAAACTAAATCTTGTCTTTCTCCAGAACGCACACAATGATTCAGAAAGCCGATCGCATTCAAATCTCGTCTCGTCTTATTTGAGATATGCGAAAATAGTCAAATAATTCATATTTAATTAAAATCTAATATTATTCGGTTTGTTACTAACAATATACATTTAAATCGTTTTATATCTAATTTTAAATTTAAATGTATTGTTTTGTATTTATTATTTAATGTTTATTTTAAAATTATTATACTAAAGTTTCGTTATAAAGCAATTTGCAATAATAGCTTTAAATTATGCAGCTTTTAAAAAAATAAATGAATACAGCAAGAATGCATTAAATTAAAAGTGACAGTAAAGACATTTGTAATGTTACACAAGATTTCTATTTCAAATAAATGCTTTTTAAGATTTCTATTCATCAAAGTATCCTGAATCCTGAAAAAAAACTATCATGGTTTCCACAAAATTATAGAGCAGCACAACAGTTTTCAACAACAATAATTATAATAATCAGAAATGTTTCTTGAGCAGCAAAGCAGTATATTAGAATGATTTGAAGGATCATGTGACACTGAAGACTGGAGTAATGATGCTGAAAATTCAGCTTTGATCACAGTAATAAATTACAGTTTAACAGATGTTCCCAGAGAAAATGGTTACATTAAATTGTAATATTATTTAACAATTTTACTGTATTTTTCAGCAAATGCACCCTTGGTGAGCAGAAGAGGCTTCTTTTACAAACCCACACTTTTAAACAGTAGTGTAGTTGACAATTTAAAAACTTGACTTGCAGAATTTACAACCAAATGTTTAAGTTTGCAAGACATTAAACTGCATGCATGTGATCAAAAATGTAAGATAATATTGCTGGGAAAGTGACAGTTGCCGTGGGGCATTGTGGTTGTTGAGCTCTGCATAGGGTTAAATGTAGTGTGAAATGCCTGAATAATGAAATTAATAAACTTTTATAGCCATTTAACACACAGGTTGACGAGTTAAATTATTATTTATACCCTGACCATTTAGCAACAATGTCTAGGGCGCTAAAGCACATCCGTTGTTTAAAGGTCCCATATTGTCAAAACTGA